AGCACACATTCTTGTCAATCAACAGAAGAAACCTGCAACTCAGCTGGGCAAAAGAAGAAAGCAGACCAAAGCAGAGGGTGCGACTAACTCCACTCTCACCTGGCACTCCGGGGCAAGAAAAAGACGGATGCTACAGGCCAACTGAACCGAGGGGAGCAGAGAGGGCAAGCAGGGCACAGAGGCAGAGGGATGGGCTCCGGTATGGACAGAGAGAAACCAGAGCAGCCCCTGAGGCTGGGGACAGCATGGTCAGCCAGCTCAGAGCCTGAGGATTTTCATATGCTTTACCTACTGGTCTAGGGCCAGTCAGCCACTAAGGAGGCCAAGGCCAAAACAAGGGTCCCCTTTTTGTACCGTAGGTTAAGCTACTACTAGAGATGTTCACATCCCATAATTCTATATTTTTTAAAGATTTATTATGTTTAATAGAAAGTTGTACCAGATGTACAGAGAGAAGGAGAAACAAAGAGAAAAATCTATCACTGGTTCACTCCCCAAGTGGCCACAACGGTCAGAGCTGAGCTAATCTGAAGCCAGAAGCCAGGAGCTTCTTCCAGGTCTCCAAACAGGTGCAAAGCCCCAAAACTTTGGGCCGTCCTCCACTGCTTTCCCAGGCCACAAATAGGGAGCTGGAAGGGAAGTGGAACATCCAGGGCACAAACCAGCACCCATATGGGTGCCCAGTGCTTTTAAGGCAAAGATTTACCCACTAGGCTACCACGCCAGGCCCACCATAATCCCACATTACAGTCTTTGGCTCCATTCCCACCTACTTCACTTTGAAATCCAGCTCCTGGACCCAGTGGCATAGCCTAGCGGCTAAAGTCCTAGCCCTACATACGCCAGGATCCCATATGGGCACTAGTTGTAATCCCGGAAGCTCCATTTCCCACCCAGCTCCCTGCTTGTGGCCTGGAAAAGCAGCTGACAACCGCCCAAGGCCTTGGGACCCTGCACCCACGAGGGAGACATGGAGGAAGTTCCTCGCTCCTGGGTTCAGATCAGCACAAAGCTAGCTGTTGTGGTCACTTGGGGAGTTAATCATCAGACAGAAGATCTTCCTCCCTGTCTCTCCCTCTCTCTGTATATCTGACTTTGTAATAAAAGTAAATAAATCTTTTTTTTAATTTTTTTTAAAGATTTATTTTTATTATTTTTTTATTGGAAAGGCGGATATACAGAGAGGAGAGACAGAGAGGAAGATCTTCCGTCCGATGATTCACTCCCCAAGTGAGCCCAACGGCCGATGCTATGCCGATCCGAAGCCAGGAGCCTCTTCCGGGTCTCCCACGCGGGTGCAGGGTCCCAAAGCTTTGGGCCGTCCTCGACTGCTTTCCCAGGCCACAGGCAGGGAGCTGGAAGGGAAGCGGGGCTGCCGGGATAGAACCGGTGCCCATATGGGATCCCGGGCGTGCAAGGCGAGGACCTTAACCACTGTGCCACCGTGCCGGGCCCAAAAGTAAATAAATCTTAAAAAAAAAAAAAAAAAAAAAAAAAAGAAATCCAGCTCCCTACTAGTGCATGTAGAAAAGCAAATGACAGCCCAGGTACCTGGGGTTCCAGCCACTCACATGAGTGACAGCAGAACTGAGTCTTAGGATAGTGGCAATGGCCCAGGCCAGCTCCAGCTGTGGTAGGCATTTAGAGTGAACCAACCAGCAGACAGAAGATCTTTCTTCGCTTTCCAAATCTTTTTCTTTTAAAGATGTACTTGTTTTTATTGAGAAGTCAGATATAAAGAGAGGAGAGACAGACAGGAAAATGTTCCATCGTTGATTCACTCCCTAAGTGGTCACAATGGTCAGAGCTGAGCTGATCTGATTCCAGAAGCCAGCAGCTTCTTCCAGGTCTCCCACACGGGTGCAGGGTCCCAAGGCTTTGGGTTTTCCTTGACTGCTTTCCCAGCCCATAAGCAGGGAGCTGGATAGGAAGCAGAGCAGCTGAGATTAGAACCGAAGCCCATATAGGGTCCTGGCAGGCACAAGGCCAGCACCTTAGCCACACACAATGCCTACCACAGCACAGTGCCTAAAACTCACTGCCCTCATCACATGACAGCACTAAGCACAGCCCGAGGATGCAAAGCAATGGTGCCCTCACAACTGGTGCATGCACGAGAATGAGCTACAGCAAGGGGGCACACGGCAAAGGGGAAGAAGGTGAGCCAGCCCCAGGGTTAGAGGCACCAGCGTCCAAAGAGGCTGGCTTCTGTCCTACACTGGAAAAGACTGGAAGCGCACGGGAGCTCTGTGCATCTTTGTAATGACTTCAAAATGGAAGAAGATTCAAGATGGTAATAAACCTGGGGGGAAAGCTGAGCAGGAGTCCCGCATCTCATCTGCGAATGCCTACTTTGAATCCGAGCTACTGTGGTTCCGTTAAGGGCAGTGGGTGGGGACCCAAGTACTGCAGTGCCTGCCATCCCCCCGGGAGACCCATGCTGGGCTCCAGGTCCAGCTGTGATGGGCACAAGGGGACTGAAGCCAGCGAGTGGAAGATGTCCACCTTTCCGCCTTTCAATTAAAACTGAAAAGAGTTAAGAAGACGCTGCCTGACAAGCAAAAGCACGAGGGGCACATGGTGGAGGGCCAGCCACCCGCTGTCCACTTGGCGACAATTTCGAGGAGCCGACTCCTCAGCCACGCGGCCTTTCTGTGTAGTAACTCGCGCTGCGACAGAAAAGTCCTCAGACACCACCACGGTGACGCGGAGACCAAGCTCCGCAAGCAGCCCAGGCCCGCACCGTCCCGCGCTCTCGGGCCGCGGGCCCCAGCGGTCTAGAAGCGACGCGAAGGGGCGGGACGCGGGGCCGGGGAACCCACGCTCCTCGCCTCTGCTGAGGGTACGTATTACGAAAACTCGTGTCACCTGTCTCCTCACTCTTCTACGGTGGCTTTTCCAGAACATCATCGGCCACTCGTGGAGCCATCGGCGGCTCCGGCCGAACAGCGCGGGAACGCGTCTCGCGCCCTTCGCGGCCTCTGCGTGCGCGGCGTGCGTGGAAGCCCTAAGGGGCGGGGCCGCGCGGCAAGGCGCAGTCGGAGGCGCCAAGGAGCATGCGCGCCGAGGGGCGGGGGGGGCGGAGCCGCGGCCGCGCGCCCTTCTTCCGTCGCCTGTGGACTCTGGCCCTAACAGAAGACGGTGTGGAGCCGGGACGGGAAGATTTCCCTAACCCCGCCCCCCAAAACCGCCTCCAGCCTATGGGAACTGAGCAGTCCGCAGGGACCGGAAGGAGGCGGAGTCTCTGCCTTCGCTGCCTCGGGCGTCTGGACCCGCAGCGCTCTCTGTCGACTTTCTTAAGAACAGCAGGGGCGTCCCGTCGGGCTTGCTGCTTAGCACACCTGGCCGAAAGGGGGCGCTCTGCTAGCCCTGGGAGAGGGTTCAGCGCCCGCATTCTTCCCCCTCAGAAAAAGGCTTACTTCACAAGCATTTAACAAGGGGCTCAAGACGCCCAGAAACTACCGAATGATGCTTAGGACTCAGAAGCCTGACTGAAAAGACTACCTACTGTGGATGAATCTGCCAAAACTCGCAGACCCAAGAACCAGAGAAGTATGAAATTCATGTCGGGTGTGGTGATGTTTTCATTTTTAAAAGCTAATGCATTAGTATCCTGAAATGCTTCAGAAAAAACGACAGACTGTTCCAAGGTTCACCTTCAAAAAAGAACTGGAGGGCCCCGGCGCGGTGGCACAGTGGTTAAGGTCCTCGCCTTGCACGCCCGGGATCCCATATGGGCGCCGGTTCTAATCCCGGCAGCCCCACTTCCCTTCCAGCTCCCTGCTTCCCTTCCAGCTCCCTGCCTGTGGCCCGGGAAAGCAGTCGAGGACGGCCCAAAGCTTTGGGACCCTGCACCCGCGTGGGAGACCTGGAAGAAGCTCCTGGCTTCGGATCAGCATAAGAAGCTCCTGGCTTCGGATCGGCATAGTGTCGGTCGTTGGGCTCACTTGGGGAGTGAATCATCGGACGGAAGATCTTCCTCTCTGTCTCTCCTCTCTGTATATCCACCTTTCCAATAAAAAAAAAAAAAATTAAAAAAAAAAAGAACTGGAAATTCCAAAGCAAGTAACAGAAGCTGCAGGCTGCTTGCTGCCTTTCTATTCCTGGGTCCTTCTGTGCTGACTTCAGTTCCCAGAAACCTGCCTCAGTGAGTGCCCCTCGTTCTTGGCCATCTGTGGCCAAGGAGGAATCGGTACCTTAAAGGCTCAGCCCAGCCCCCCCATGAGATGCCACTGTGACTGCTTTCCCAGAGTGAGCAAGTGGAGTGCACACTGGCAGAGCCACTCCTGGACCTCAGCACTTACACACCCTGCTGCCCATCAGAGGACGAGGCCCAGAGCAGGTGACAAAGCTGAGTGGATGGTCCAGAACGCCTGAAGACTCGTGACATCCTTCCCCCGGGCCTGGGGAAGCGGGCCTTGGTGGCTCCTTTCTTCCTGGCCACTCCCATCTTGGCAGGACTCTAATCCCGGGCGCCTGAGGCCTTGACTCTTTGCAGCTCCATCCAGCTGCTTTGGACACTGCTATTCTTTGCCCAAGCCCCTGTCCCTTGCCCAGATCCTCAGCACAGCACACCCCCAGGAGCCACAGCATCTAAAAAACAAAGTACAAACTTTATTTTGTTTCTTTACAAAGGCACAGTGGCCTCTTGGTTTTTTTTTTTTTTCCACTCCCCACTTTCTTAACAAAATATAATAGCTTCTCCTGGAACACAAAGACCTCAAAAACCGTAAAAAAAAAAAAAATCAAAACTGAAACAAAAAAATTAATAAACCAACAACAAACAAAAACAGAGACAAGACATCTCGGGGGATGGAAAGATGGGAAACCTGGAGGGAGGGGAGGGGCTGGAGGAGAGTGGCAGATCCTGTGCTGAGATGGGAGGGGGAGGGGAGAGGGCAGCAGCAAACCCCAGGCGAGAAGCAATGTGGACTCCGGGTTCCCAGAAAGCCCCAGCCCAGCCTGACCCCCAACCCATGTAAGTGCTTAAAGGAGAAGAAAGAAAACCAGAAAGAAAGAGGAGAGGGAAGGGAAGGGGGAACCAAAGGCGGCCTGGCGTGGGGCCTCTGGGAAGGGAAGGCAGAAATACCTTGGGGTTTGGTTGATTTTCCCTGTTCTGAAAAATATGATTCGATGAACCAAAAAAAAAAAGCTTTTGGCAGACAGAGAGGCCGGGTACCTCACTGTCAGCCTCCTCCAGCCCAGGGGTCCCAAGGGTGCTCCCACACGCTCTATACCACCCCAGCCCTGGGACCACGGGTTGGGGGGAATCTGTTTAAGAGCTGATTTACAGTATTGAAAAAGAGGTCACAAAAGAGACCCAAACAATATCGTAATTTTGTAAAAATTTCGCACTCATTCACCCATTTCTCTCCCTGTGCTGCCCCGGCCCCCTCCAACCCCCTAGGAGGGAGAGGAGGGCTGGGGGGTGGTCAGGGAAGCTCGCTGTCCCCCAAGGGCTCCTCCCGGCTCTGGTCCATGGCGTCGCTGTCCGAGGCCTCAGAATCAGAGGCGGTGTCAGAGGTGTGCGCCTCCGGGCAGCTGCGTAGCGGCTTCACGATGACCGCTCGCCGCTGCTCCTCCTCCAGCTCCTGCTTGTCCTGCGTGCCCTCAATGTGCTGGATCGCCTGGGGTGGGAGGACAGGCCACTGATGGCACCGGGCTGGGGACATCCGCCAGTCTCGAGACCCATTCTCCCCTCAAACACGTAACCCTGAGATAAGCCTGGCAAAGCAACTGGGAGGCCACCTGAGACCGAGGGACAACAAACAGGGAAAAACCGTCTGGGGTTCCAGAGATCCACCAGTGCAGCCTCCACACTAGCACCATCTCTCTCAATCGCATCTCCCGGAGTCGGCCTAGGAGCTCAGGGAGGCCTTTGTTACTAACGGTATTACCCCTGTTCTGAGTTCACAAGCAACTCAAGTTTTGGGAGTGAACTTTTTTCCATTCAGGTTCTTTTGGTATTTAGCTAATTTATAACATAGTTGGCTACTCTCACTTCTAAATGCTGTCTGATCCCATAAGGGGTACTGCCCAAGGCTGGGTACAGCTTTGCATCAGGCTGGACTCACAGCACTGATAATGTAGTGCCCACCATCCCTGGAGGGATGCCCTCCCCCGCCTCCTAGCTCATGCAGGATGAAGCTCAGAAAGTTCTGGAGCTGGCTGCACAAACCTTATCGCTCAGCAGTGGGTTCAGGAAGCAAATCACATACCAACAGTGGGTACATGATCTTGCAGGGACCCCACAAAACAAGCCAGGAAAATCACCAAGGTTCCAGGCCTTTGAGCCCCAGCCCGCCCCTCCTCCATTCCTCACAGCCCCGTTCCCTTTCAAGAGCTTGCTCCTGACGACCTCCCAGGTGAGCCACCCCGCTCCCAAACCCAAGCCCGGATACCTGCACTATAGTGTCCAGGTTCTGCCGCGATGTGGACACAGAGTTGATGACCGAGGAGGGGCCCATGGTGACGACATTGATGTGGTGGGAGGGCGGAGGGGGTGGGGCCGGCACAATCACTGTAGGGTGGTGCGTGGGGGCCGGAGGGGGCAGGAGCTGAAAGAAAAAGCCCCTTTGGTCTCTGTCCAAGGGGTAACCCCCAGCCAGCCCTCCACCTCCCTTCCCTGTGAGGGTTGGCCAGTCTGCACCCCACAGTCCCTCTGATATTAAGCAATGGTGGCCCTACAGGGGCTTCTGCAATCCCAAAGACCCTTCCATCTCCAGCAACAAGACAGCAATTCCACATCTGCTATGGTGGCTCTGGACCCCAAGCCCTTTGAGATCCTAGACCTTCATTATATAACTTTATGATTTATCTCAACAGGTTTGTTAGGAAAGCTTCCATGTACTACTGCCTGAACGGACACTGTTTACGCCCAGAGCCTGCCCACTGGACAGCCAGAGGCCCCCAAGTCATGAAGTCCAGGGGCCCCTCCCAGCACCTCCTGCTCACCTGGGTCCGCAGGTGCTGCTGTTCCCGCTCCAGCTTTTCCTGGTGCAGCAGCCGTACCTGTTCCTGCTGCTGCTGCAGCTGTACCTGCTGCGCAATCACCTTAAGCTTTTCCGGGTACATGTGGGCCTCCAGCGAGCGCACCTGGAGGCGCGATAGCAGGACTTAGGGCAGGGCCCAGGCCACACCCTGTTCTAGTGTGGGCACTCACTAACACTCTGCACATCCAGGCCTGAGTGCAGCAGGCCTGTCCCAGTCCTCCCTGTGCTCCAGGCCGACCGGGAGCCCCAGGGCAAGGTCCCTTCACCCACCCACAGGAAGCACATTCTCACCTGCTCCTCCAGCATCATGCGCACCGAGCGCTCCTTGTCCAGTTGCTGCCGCAGCTCAATCATCTCCCGCCGCAGGTCTTCTGCCTTCTCGTCCTCCCAAATGTCTGGCGAGCCAATGCCCTCATCCTTGTCCTCTGCCCGCCTCCGCTTGGGAGATGAGCCGCTCAGCTCCTAAGGAGCCCCAAGGCAGGGTCAGCATGAGAGCTTGGGAGCCCCACGGATGCAGGTGGGGGTGCCAGTTGCCTCACAGCCCCCCAGCTGTCTTCCCGGGAGCTGTGCATCTGGATTTGTGAATCCAAACACCTCAAGCAGGGAAGCAGAACTGGACCCGTCTTCCCAAGCGTTTGTCTAGTTCCCTCCTGTGCCCACTGCCCTGCAGGGACCTCAAGTTGCCAAGAGGGAGGGGAAGCTTCAGTGGGCGAGGTAGGCTCAGCTGCCGTGTTTCCAGCCCCGAGATACCTGGATGAAGCGCTTGAGCTGTGTGTTCTGCTGCAGCAGCCGGGTCTTCTCCTGCTCCAGCGAGAAGATGTACTCTGCCGTCTGCTGGAGGATGGCTGCCTGGGGGCGGCACAGGAAGCTGGTCAGTGTACCTAGGCTGGCTCTCCTCCTCCCCCTATTCCCTCAAGGCTACCACCTCATCCAGGAAGCCCTCCAGGTGTGCTGGCCCACCTTGCTGAGTTTCTCTCCATCTGTGTGAGGGATGAGGGTCTTGAGGGACTGGAAGCCAGCATTGATGCTCTGCATGCGCCGCCGCTCGTTGCTGTTGGCGATCTCACGCCGGATGCGCCGCTCCTGGTCCCGCTGCGTCTCAGGAGTCAGTGGAATGTTGGCCAGGCTGCCGACGGAACAGGGGTGGGCTCAGGCTGGGTGCCCTCTGTACCCATCTCCCAGGAAGCCCCTGGCTCTTCCAGAAAAGGGGCTTCCCTGCCTGAACACTGCAGAAACAGCCAGATCTATCTGACACTGGGGGCGGCGGGGGTTGCTGCATGGGACTCCCAGGCATGCTGACATGGTGGGCATGAGCAGCCCGCTCCAAACCAACCATTCCTGGTCTCCTATCTGGGGGTTGGGGTGAGGACTCTCCTCCAGGACAGAGTCCCAGTGTGTGCTTGACTATCAGAGACCCCTAGTGCCCATCTAACAGGTCTAAGCTGGCAAATACACTGCACCCCAAAATGCCCCCAGGTGGGCCCCAGACAGGTCCTGGCTGTCACAGCACACATGGCTTCCCTCCCTCAGTCACATGTTGGCCATCCCAGGAGTCTTAAGACACCCCCTCCTCATCTCCACAGCACCCCGCAGCCTCCTGCTCACTTGAGCTGAGACGCCACAGCAGATAAGGCAGGTGGTACTAGCCACTCCACCACAGGGACCTTAGCCCACAGTCCCAGAGATGGTCTTCCCCCAAGCTTGCCCCACTCCACCCTATTCCAGGGTGAGAGAGAAGGCAGACAGGGAAGGAGGGCCTAAAGCTGTGATGCTAGCGGGAGACAGGCAGCAGCAGAGCCAGCAGGCCCAAGGCCATGGCTCCCGAGGGGAGGGCCTGTGTGTGGCCCGGGGAAAGGCATGCACCCCTTCACAGGCCCTCCCCTGCAACTCCCCCACCCTGCCCTGATGGCTTCCAGATGCCGGGCTCCCAGCAGAGGCTGCCAGCCCCACCCAAAGCCACAGCCTGAGGGGCCCTCCAGGGGTGACCTCTGCCAGGCCAAGGCCAGAGCAGCTCACAGCCTGGACCTAGGGAGACAGGGACTGGGCTCTAACTGCACTGCCTCCATTTACGACAGGGACCTGGGGGACCAGAGGTGCCTGGCCCAACGTGCCCCTCTGAGACCAGGCCCCTGTGCCCATCCCTAGGGTGGGTAGCTGAGGAAAGGCCAGTTTTGTTGCAGCTGGACAGAGCTCACTGTATACAACCTACCCTATGGGAGCCCAGAGCCATCCCTGCCCCACACAGGCCCTTGGTCTCTGGTCTCAGCAGAAGGTACCCACTCCTTACCAAGCCCTTCCCCAGGACACATGCCCCCAACCCTGCAGAGAGCGCTGGGATAGGCATGGTTTGAGTCAGACAGTGGGGTATCCAGCACTTGCCACACAATGGGAGTGGGGGTGTCTGGAGGGAGGAGGAGGTCACTGCAAGGACTGCTGGCCAACCCCTGAAGGAGGGTCTGTTCCCAGGCCTGGCACGGTCCTTAGCGCACGAGTACAGGAACCGCTCAACAGTGAGCAGGTGAAAGCTGGGAGAAAGAAGAGACAGGGAGAGCTAGCCACGGGACGCCAAGTAACGCATCCTGGGATATCCCATGCCCCAAGAGAGGCGTGGGGAGAGACCGCCCACCCTCCCAGTCTCTGCAGCATCCTGCTGATACTCAAAGGGCCAGCACTGACCAGGGACTTGAGCCCCATTTCCACCATTGGGCCACCTGGAAAGTGGTCACCCAGATAGCCTGCATTCTGCACAAAATATGCTAAAGACTCTCTCTGCTAGACTTTTCTTGCTAGGTTGTCACCATCTTCCTATGAGCTACCAAGCAAGAGGGATGGGGACTGGCACTGTGGCCTGGTGGGGGAAGCATCCCATATGTTCCACTTCTGATCCAACCCCCTGCTAAAGGCCTGGGACCCTGTAGCCATGTGGGAGACCCAGAAGAAACTCTGGCTTTGACCTGGCCTAGCCCTGGCCATTGTGGACATCTGGGGAGAGAACCAGAGGATGGAAAGGAAAATCTCTGGGTATAACTCTGATTCTCAAACAAATAAATCTTTAACAAGAGGCAGTCAGGGGTCAGGTCCCGTAGGCCCTGGGTGCCCAGCTCAGCAGTGACGGATGCCCCACAGCAAAGGAAGCACCAGCTCCAGACCTCACTCACACCCCAACCAGAGCAACGCCCAGCACCCCCAGGTAATGGTGAGCCAAGCAGGATCCTGGGAGGGGAAGGCATGTGCCACACCCAGCAGCGTGCAGCAGGCCCTGGCAGACCCCAGAGCTCTGACAGCCAGCGTCACCCTCTATAAACAGCTCCCTCAGATCACTGTCTTCCGGAGGGGCAACGACCCTGCCCCCTCTGATCCCCAGCAACAGACCAGGCACACAAGTGGGGCGACTTGCCCTGAGGTCACACTCCTCACTTCCCAGCCCGGGCCTCCCAAAGGAGGCTCACACCCAGCGTCTCCCTCCCCAGGGTGATGTCTACTACTGGGGAGACCAACGGCTGAACGTCCCAGAACGGAGAGGCCCCGAGGCCCAGCCAGCGAACAGGGCGCTGGAGGAAAGGCTCAGGGGAGTATGCAGGGTCCCCCACCGGCCTGGCTTCTCCCCACCACACCCAGCATCCCAGCCTCCTGCCTCAGGAACCAGGTGCTAGTTAACCTAGTGTTTAGCTGACTTAAATTCAAGAAGACAGACTTTTCGGGGGTAGGGGGGCTTGGGTTTGCCAACCAATCAAAACTCATGTAAACTGCACAGAAAGTCCCAGCTGTCAACAGAAGGAGCATTCATCAACAGCTGATTGGTGAAGTGTGAGCTAAACAGGGGTTCTAACTGGTAGAGTATGGGCCAACCAGGGCTTCTCACTGGTGAAGGCTAGCTAACAGGAAATCTTATCCATGGGATGCTGACCAAGGAAGGGTTCCTACTGATGAATTTCCAGGTGACAATGCATTGGATCACTTGAAAAGCTCCCTGGATTTTGTAGATGTCAGCCAGAATTACAGGAACCACCAGGCCCAAGTGCCCTGTCCCCCAGGTGAGCAATCATCCCACCTGCTGCCTTCCTGGCTGCCCTGGAAAAAGAGCGGTCTGGAGCAGTTGCAGTGGCGGGAAGCCTGATGCCCTGGCTTCAGGGCCAGGGAAGGGCACCCAGAAACAACAATCAACAGCCAAGGAATAAAACCTGGGCACCAGGCCTGAGAGCCCAGACCAACACTGCTCCTTCAAAGCACAGAACCCCTGCCCAACACCTCCCAGAGAGGCAAGGGGTGAGCTCTTCAAATCAGATCTACAAAAAAGCCAAGGGGTCCCCGTGCCCTGTACCCCAAAGTGGTCCCTGAGAACTGTCATTCCATGCTGCCCCTGAAGTCACTTATACACCATATACCCCAGCTCATGGACACAAAGCAATACCACACAGGGTATGAAGGTCCTGGACACAAGGGCAGAAGACAACTCCCCCCAGCAGGGATACCCAGGGCTCCCTCACCTAAGCAGCCTGTGTGGGCCTGTCTCCAAGCTTTTTGTTCACACTTCTCGCTCTCCCGCAGTCCCAGCACACACCATCCTCGCCTGTCTTACAAACACCCGCACTGTCTTCCCCGCCCTCCTCGCTGCCCACACTGGCTCCAGCCTATCAGAGGTTCTAACACAAACTCATGTCTTTCCACTCACCAGCAACGGGATCCCCAACCTAGCCCATATCCCCCCCACACACCTGAGGAAGCACTGCCTCACTTCAAAGAGACATAACAGAAGTTAGAACAGGTCAAATGGAGGAATAGGAGACAAGCGAGGACAACAGGACACCCTGTTTTCCCAGGGCCAGCACCCAGAGGTTCAGCAACAACCAACCCATGGGCCTCTTAGGAAGCTGACAAGACCACAAGCTAGCTGCTCACAGCTGCATCCTCGGATCCAGCATAAAACTGGTGCTTTGTAAATGCAGGATCTGGGACCCAAAAGACCCTCCAAATCCCTTAAACTTCCCCTAATGCCTTCTAAGAGGAACATTTTTAAACAAGGTTATAGAGACCACCATGCACCTTCTTTGAAGAGTCTCAATGTCACCACCACAGCTACCAGTCACTTTGTACACCTGTGGCTGACGCTGCCAGGTGTTCTGGCTTACAGAGGCCAAGGACCCAGGTAACAGGTCCAAACCCTTGCATTGTGCCCGAAAGCCCCCGGGGAATGCAGCCGCGTCCACCAGCCTGGAACTGGGACCGTGAGGGTCGTGAGGAGCAAGTCTGTCTGGCCAGCCTGGACAGACCTCCCACCTCACTCTGCTGCCCCTGCTGGGAATGAACCTGGCAGGGTAGTACCTGTGTGTCACCAGGTCCAATTCTGGGGACAGAGTGAAGCCGGCATCCTAGGAGGCCCTGCCAGGATTCAAACTATGCCTAGGTGTGACAGCAGAGTCCCGGTGCCTCAAGCCACAGGACCCCAGGGGCCACAGGACCCCAAACACCCCCTCCAGCTGGAGAGAAGCTCAACCCGGCTCCTCATTGCCCAGCCCAGCTCTAAGCTCGGGGTCAGGTTCAAGTCCCAGCACCACCATCTGCTCCAGCTGGATCATAAGCTAACTTGACTTACAGGAAGGTGATGACAATTCAGGGAGAAAAGGCAGGGAAGGCTGAGTCCCCAGGTCAAAGAGCCCAGGAGTTTTTGTTTTTTGAGCCTGTTACAGGCTGAGCAGTCAGTCCTCAGTGGACTGCTGGCTGCCACAGGAGTCAGCTGGCCCAATGCCTCCTGAGGTACAGATCCTGAGCCTGGTTGTAAAGAGGGCTGGAGTTCCAGGGGACGCAGGTATACACATGCCCGCAATCTTCCCCTGGCTCAGTTTCTGCAGCCCCTGGTGTCCACCAACGTGGGCCACCACTCACCTGGGTTCCTCCTCCCTCCCGTCTGCCCGCCCTGTCTGCCTGGGCACAGGAGCACGTGGTCCCAGCCCCGGGGAGCCATTTCGCTGCAGGAGCAGCAGCATTGCGGCCAAGGGGGCTGCTCTGATCGCAAAGTTATGCACACCCGGGAGCACCTCCCTCCGCCTCCCCACCCCGTTGCAACCCTGCAGTGAGGGTCACTGGAGGATGCAGAGGCCGGGTCCCAGGCACGTGCAAGTGCGATCCACCGCGTGTGGGCTGCAAAACCATCGCCCTTTGCTGAAAGGGTTTATCTGGAACAACTTAGGGTCACGCTGGCAAAACTGCTTCTGAGGCAGGTGCGCACCTCGGGCCACCCACCCGGCAGCGCGACCCGCCGCTTTCAGTTTATGGCCAGGAGAGGGAGGGGCACGGGGTGGGAAACTTTGCAGGAGAGATCCACGTGCAGCGGAGAAACGGCCTCGCGGGGCCGGCGGCAGTCTCCTGCGTCCCGTCCCGAACCCGGGTCCTCCCGGTCCACGCTTCCCTTAGGGGCCGAGCTTTGTGCAGGGAGGGGGGAAAGCGTGGCCCGGGAGCGCCTACAACACCCACAATGCCGTGCCGGCGGGGCGCCGAGAACTACAGCTCCCGCGAGGCCGTGCGCCGAGGTCCGCCTACTCCAAGAGGGCTGCAGAGTCACGTCCAGGCCTCGCTAGTAAACAGCGCCCGGGCGCGGGCGGGCGGGAGAGCGATCGGGCAGCCGCCACTGTGCCCTGACCGCGCGGCTCGCCGGCCCCGCCACCCGGGGCCCGCCCACCCCTCACCGCTGCAGCCCCACGCGAGCACGTCCCCCCTCCCCGCCCCAGTTGCAATCCCGCACTCTGCAACCGCGCACAACACTCGGCTCCTGCCCCCCCACCCCTCGCGCCCGGGAACCACGGCATGGCTGCAATGGAGCCGCTGCCCCCCACGCGTGTCCCGGGCACCCCAGCCCCGCCTGGAGGGGGAGAGGGGCGCGCAGTGAACGCGAGGAAGGAGGGAGAGGAAGGAAACCACCGCGGGAGGGGGGAGGAGGAAGCAAGGGGGAAAGCCAGCAGCACCAAGCATGGCCGGGACTGCTGCAGAACCACGTGGGTCTGTTTGCAATTTACAAACGTCGCGACTCGCCCGCCTGCAGTGGACAAAAGTGGCCAAGACCGCTCGGGGCTCCCATGTTGCGAGGGACGAGGGTGCCCGGGAGGCTCGAGAGACCCGAGCACCGGACTGCGGAGGGCCCCGGGCCGGGGGGATAGAGCTAAGAAAGGCGAGCCGGGTCCGCCGCGCGGGCCATGCGTGCGCACACACGCGCCCGCTGAGGCCGGCTGGCCGGGGGGACTGCCATGGTGGGCCAGGGGGTGGGTGGGTAGGGGGAGGAGAAGGAGGAGGAGGAGTACACACCTACAGAGCCCTCCTATCACTTCTTTCTCTGTTTTCCTGAAATGTTGCAAAGAGGGCACCTTCTGAGCGGGCACCATGAAATACTCCATAGCGATCGGCCCCCCTCCTCCGCGCGAGCCGAGTCCCGCAGGCAGCCGGAGGATGCAAGATGGAAATCCGAATCGTAGGGCAGCGCCGGACGGAGGTGCGGAATCGGCCGGTCCCAGATGCTGGTGGCGGCGGCGGCGGCGGCGAGGGGAGGGAGGCGGGCGGGAGGGGCGGGAGGGAGGTCTCTCCGGCCTGCCTCCCCGAGCGCGTGTATGTGTGTGTGTGTGGTGTGTGTGTGTTTGCAGCTGATCAGATGTCTGTTTCAAGGCGGGAAACAGCTGGTGAAAACTCAGCACTCCCCCAGCCTCCTTCCGCGGAGTAAGGAATTGCATGTAAACAAAGGACTATTTGCAGTGCGCCCCCCCCAACCCGGGCGGCGCGAGGCCGGTGCCGGAGGGACTCGGGCCCCCGGAGGCCCGGCTGCCGCATGAGGGGTTCTGCGGGGCTCCCCCGGATGCGGGGGCTCCCGGGAGCCCCCAGGTCCGCGGGGGCGGGAGGGGAGGCGCGCGTGAATGAAGCGAGCTGCGGCCGAGCTACATGCGCCACTATGGGTGATGAGGTCCATCAGCTGACAGGTTGGCAAGCGTTGCAAAAAAAAAAAAAAAAAAAAAAGGCCAGGGCGAGGGGGATCCCAGCCCGGGCTGCCGGGGGTCCGCGGGGTCACTGCGCGCGGCCGGGTGCGTGCGTGCTCCGAGCCTCTGCCGCTCCCCGCCTGCGGCAGCTCCGAGCCCCGCCGCCCGGGCGCGCTCCCTGCGGGCCGAGCCTGGGCCCCCTTTGGAAACTTGCGTCACGGCCACCGCTTCCCACATAGAACTTGGGGCTGACTCCAGGGCTCCGGCCGGCTTGCTCCCTGTCTGGGCCCGCAGCCCGGCCTGGCCGGTCCCAGCTCCCCCAGCCTGGGAATCCCGGGGTCCCAGACGGCTGCTCTGGGCGGCGGGGTCTGCCCCGGATGCGGCCCGCCGCGGAGGTGAGGTGGAGCCCGGAGGTCTGCCGGTGGCCGCCCGGTCCCCGGCCCGACCCCGCGCCGGGGCGAGCCCGACGGGGCCTGCTCCTCCACCAGAGGGCGCGCTGTGCGCGGGGGGCGCCGGCCGCGGGCTTCCGCCCCGTCCCCCACGCCGAAGCCTTCCGGCCCCCGCCCTCCCCCGGCTGCAGGAAGCCCACGCCTGCCTCGGAATGTCCTCGGCGCTGCCGCTGGCCACCCCGGCCTTTCCCAATGCCATCCACCCTTCAGGTGCCGCCCAGCTCGCGCCTCTTTGCAGTATTCCCACTGGTAACAATCGGCGCCGCGGTGGTTAGGAAATACTATTGTTCCCCGGGCGTTGCTGCCCGGCAACCTGCTGGGCGGTTTCTCAAGTGCGGTCCCTCATCATCCGAGTTCTGCCAGACACACGCAGTTCTGTTCGACATGTTTTGTTTTGTTTGCATTAATTTTTGCTTTTTGGAAGTGTATCGCATTATTTTAAAATGGGGTCCGGTCCGGAGCAGTGGCATTTTACGCTGCCGTACCAGCGTTTGTATCAGTGCCAGATCCGGACCTGGCTGCTCCAATTCTGACCTAGCTCCCTGCTAATGACCTGAGAAAGAGCGGAACGTGGTCCAAATCTTCGGGCCCCTGCACCCACACAGCAGACCTGGAAGTTCCCGCCTTCCAGCTCCAGATCCCCCCAGCTCTAGCCCTTAATGCCATTTGGGAAGTGAACCAGCTATCTTTCCCTCTCTCTTTCAACTAAAATAAACACATCTCTTTAAACAATGTCCCCCCCTATATATATATCCACATATATAATATGATTTTGCAATAAGAATAAATAAATCTTTTTAAAAAAATGTTTATCTTCGGGCCCAGCACGATAGCATAGTAGTTAGAGTCCTCGCCTTGCACCGGGATCCCATACGGGCACCAGTTCTAATCCTGGCAGCCCCACTTCCCATCCAGCTCCCTGCTTGTGGTCTGGGAAAGCAGTCGAGGATGGCCCAAAGCCTTGGTACCCTGCACCTGTGTGTGAGACCCAGAAGAGCTCCTGGCTCCTGGCTTCGGATCGGCTCAGTTCCAATGTTTATGACCACTTGGGGAGTGAACCATCAGACAGAAGATCTCTGTCTCTCCTCCTCTCTGTATATCCGCCTTTCCACTAAAAATAACTAAATCTTTTTTTTAAAAAAAAAGTTTATCTTCATGCCTGTGGTTTCTGGGGCCCCTTAAGCTTCTCCAGCAGGTAACTGCTGGATCTGCCTCAGTCCAGCCTCCTCCCACCTCACCCCCGATCTGTGACTCAGGGCAGGGGTGCAGGGTGCAGGGCTGGCCACCAGCTCAGGGTGGAAGCCAGGATTCCCTAGCGCAGTCAGCCCTGTCTGCTGTTGTCTTTAGACAATTTGATTGGTGACCCAGAAGCCAAGGCAGACAGACACATGTCACCATTGCCACAGGGAGTTTCCTCAGCACATCCTGACATGGGACCACAGATCTGCACACCAGGACAGTGGGAGATATCCCAGCCAGCCGCTCCTGCAACACTGCCTTGCCCACACCTGGTTCCCCAAGAGCACACACTGACAGGCTTCACCCTGGCTGCCTTGGCTGTGCCCACCAGCCCAGAGCCCTGGAAGCCTCACAAGCTCCAACAGCCCTCGCCTGGCTCAGCCACGCCTGCCTGCAGCATGCAGGAGGAGGGCCACCGTAGCACACCCACCCCAGGACTTCCCCCAGCAGCCACCCATGAAGTAACCTGTTCCATGCCTGGTTTGACCCTGCCAGCTGTGGCAGTGCCTCCAGACTCACAGAGGATGCTGGGTAGCCTTCCGTGAGGCCTCCAACCCTCCCTGGGTCTACACAAGCGAGTGGCCAGTATTTTCTGTACAAGGCCAAGTAATGGATATTGGGGCACTGCGACCCCCGTGGTCTGCTTAGCGGGTGCTCAATGTTGCCCCCTGGAGTGCCAGAGTAGCAGGAAGAGATGGCACAGGCACTCTGTGTATCAGCAACATGTATTATTCATGGACACAAAGCAATCTACAGTATTCGTGTATCACAAAGTATCACTCATTTGCTTTTTCTTGGCCATCTATGACACAAACATCCTGTTGCAACTGTAACAAGTTACCATACACTTAGTAGAAGTCAGAAGTCTCAAGTGGGGTCATATCTGGCTGAATACCAAGTGACAAGCCCCTCTGGCTTTTTCCAGCTTGTGGCATTCCCTGGCTTGTGGCCCTTCCCCCCGGCCTCCACTCCTACTGTCACATCTCTGGCACCTGCTTGCCCTAAAGCTTTACCTTAGTCACATCTTCACAGCATCTTTTGCCAGGAAAGGTAATTCACTCACAGGCTGCAGCACTTTGCACATGGACTTCTTGGGACGCCATTACTTTCCGTGCCACATCACTAGTTTTTGGGCTGTGCAAAATTTGTTGTGGCTGTCGTCTGCTCCAGCAATGCCACCCTAGGAAATCCATAGAAATGAAAACAGGGTCATAATAAACACATCGTTCTGTACAAAACTTACAGCAACATTACTCTGAGAAGAGGCGTGTAAGGGGGATATGGAGTCCATGCATAAATGGATAAACACAATGCAGTTTATCCATGCAAGGGAATATTACTCAGCATGAAATGAGAACCCAGCATGATGGCTCAGTGACCAAATCCTCACCTTGCACACACCGGCGCTAGTGTGTGTCCCAGCTGCTCTACTTCCCACACAGCTCTCTTCCCATACGGTAATGGCTCAAGTACTTGGGCCACTGCAACCCACATGGGAGACCCAGATGGAGTTCTTGGCTTCTGACAAAAGCCCCAGCTTTTGAGACTATTTGGAGAATGAACCAGTAGACAGAAGACTCTGTGTGTGTGTGTGTGTGTGTTTAAGACCCTGTCTTTCAAATAACTAAATAAATCCTTTTTTTTAAAGGAAAGAAAGAATTGAAGCCCTGCCACAATTCAGAATGACAAAATCCACAGACAGCACCATTGGTGATTAGTATCAGGGGCTAGAAGACTGGGGAGAGAAATAGGGAGTGACTGCTAAAAGCTATCAGGCTTTCTTTGGGATGATGGAAGTACTTTGAAATTGGTTGCACCATGGTGTGAATGGACCAAAAGTCACCATTTTAAATGGGTGAATTACATTATTAAATTGAACAAAGCTGTTATTGTGATATCTTTATTGGCCCTCAGGGCAGCCAGAATCCTGGGGGCCCCAGGAAGCACAGAGTCCCTAAGGTGGTGGGTTCACAGCAACTTCCTCTGCCACCCACGTAGGAGGCCGGGATGGAGCTTCTGGCTCCTGGATTCAGTTTGGCCCAGCACCAGCTACTGTAAGCACTGGGAGGATAAACCAGGAAATGGGAGATATCTCCTCTCTATCTCTTTCCCTCTCTCCCTCTCTCTCTCTGCCTTTCAAATAAAATTAAAACTGAATACTCAAAAATCTATTCTTTCAAGGAGCTGCAGTCAGCAGGGAGAGCAGCAGCTGGGGGCACTGCAGCCCCAAGTCCACACACAGCAGCACCCATGTGGAATAGATGAGATTCTTTTCATTGCTACTTCTCTCTAGATGGATGATGTATTAGCCTTCAATTGCTGAGTCACAAAGTTCCACAGAGCTAGTGGCTTGAAACAACTCACCCTGACTGCCTGACAGCTCAGAGGGTCAGGGCCAGGGTCTCACGAGCGAAGCCGAGCCGAGGGCCAAGGTGTCATCCAAGGCTTGCAGTCTCTTCCCAGCTTCCCAGCTCGTGGCAAAGAGCAGCTCCTGGTGACCAGGACTCAGGTCCCGCTGTCTCATTGCCTGTGATCTGGGTCACTGCTCGGGCTCTAGAGGCTTCTTCTCAATCCTTGCTGCATGATCCCCTCACCTGGGCCAGCAAGAAACTCCCTCACTTGCACTCTGCTTCAATTCCTTCTGGATTCCTCGCCACAAGCAGCTGGAGAAAACGCTGTGGGTCGAGGGACCCTGTGAGCAGTGCACGCCTGCTGAGGTGTCTGCTCACCTGGGGATCCCCTGGGTCAGGGGTGAGGCCATTGCAGGTTCTGGCCACTCTCCATGGAGGAGTATAAAAAAAAAATCTGCTACCACAGGTTCAGGAGACATGTTAAAGAACTTTCCTAGCAATACTGCAGGGGCAGGGGTACAATGCACAATGTGGCCTTTTGGGTCCAGGTGTGCTGCAAAGCTTAGTGGTGTAAATGCCAGAAGTCATGGTCGGGGGCTACCTGCAGAAGCAGAAAGTCCCCGCTCAGGAGACTGGACCCTGAATGTGCCCAGGAAGGCAGAGTGGGTCAGACAGCCGCTGGTCTCATCTCCTACCCCAGGCACAGGCAGAGCTCCTGACCAGCAAGGCTGGACCAGCAAAGCTCCCCCAGCCACAAGGGGGCGACAGGTACACACGCTGCTTTAT